TTGTCTTTCACTTGACGAACTAGAGCTTGGAAATATTCCTAATTATCATTTCCAATGACTTTCACTTGACGAACTAGAGCTTGGAAATATTTCTAATTAATGTTTCCAATTACTTTCATTTCACGAACTAGAGCTTGGAAATATTCCTAATTATCATTTCCAATTACTTTTACTTGACGAACTAGAGCTTGGAAATATTTCTAATTAATGTTTCCAATTACTTTCATTTCACGAACTAGAGCTTGGAAATATTCCTAATTATCATTTCCAATGACTTTCACTTGACGAACTGTGACGTATTATAATGAAATAATTAAACAATATTACATTGATATGTTTCTATGAAACAATGTTGACCTAAATAACACAAACCCCTAGCGGCAGAGTTGTTAGGTTCACTGGTAGGTTGCTCATTAGCGAGAAATGGGGACAAATCCTCCCAATATTTTTTTAAAGACTTGTTTTAGGTATCTACCTGTTTTATTAAATGTTTATATATCACTTACTTTGTCATAATGTTACAAGAGATGAAAATAATTAATAAATTTTAATTTTAAATATCATTTTTAACTCATCAATACAAGCATTCTCTTGTTCATCGCCGTAAAAGATACGACTTGATCGAAGAAAGAAAATCAGTCAATAACGACGTAACTTAAAACGTACATGTATAAAGTATTCATGGAGTTAATGCCATTCCAGGGTAATAAAAGTAATGATAAAAGTTTTTACAGAGTTAATGGTTCGTTTTGAATTTCGCGCAAAGCTACTCGAAGGCTATTTCCGCTAGTCGCCTCTAATTTAGCAGTGATAGACTAGATGGAAGGTACTTAGTCAACACCACCCATCGCTAACTTTAAGGCTACTTTTTTTACCAAGAAAAAGTGGGATTGACTGTCACGTGTAACGTCCCCACAACTGAAAGGACGAGCCTGTTCGGTGACGAGGATTCGAGTCGAGCATCCTAACCACCAGGCCATTCTAGGCCTAATTTTCATAAAACGTTTTCACTTACGAAAGGTCGACTGTAGAAGTCCTATACTCTCTTAAACATCTAAACAATTAGGACTATATAAGAAATATTAATTCAATTTCATTTTTTTTTTATTAATTAATAAATGAAGTTTTTCTTGGAGTTTTTAATTTGAAATGATCATCCAAAGTAAACACCACATTGCCACAAAACTTTATGTAACACCTTTATTTGAAAACTCGTCTAAAACAGATCTATTACGTTATCAAGCTGAAGAAGGAAACATTAATCCACCGTCCTCACGAGATGCCCTCATAAGTTCGGAAAATCACAAAATGTAGCAGTCTTGAAACAAGCGCCAGTATTGTGTACTCTCAAACCAGGTGCCGTTGCATCCGTTACGTCCAGTCTTGTGAATCCGGGCAACATCATTGCAGTTTATCTCTTTATTTTTGACGCAGTTTTTCGCCCATATTTTCATATAGCTCTGAATTGTTTCTTCAGCACACTCCTTCTTTTTAACACAGGAAGTGAAATCTGTTGAACAAGTATGATAATTTAGAAAAATTAAATTGCTCTAAACAAGGTGTTTCTGGAACCAGAGTATATTTGGATTTATTCCTAATTATGATATCATAATCATTTGATCAAAATAGTATTATCTTCATCTCAGAAAGTTTTATTGATGCCTTTCTGAAACGCCATCTAGCATTACCTGCGGACACTACTTGCAATGTTCCCATAATACACTTACTTGTCAGTATAATTCAACATCACTCTAATCCCCGGATTGGTCAGCAGTGTATTTACGGACTTTAGAACGTTAAAATGCAAGGTTCGATTTCCCGCGTGGAGAGAGCATAGGTAACACCTTGTGTAACTTTGTGCTCAAAGAACAAACAACCAAATACAATATTATTCTAATATTCAAAATATGCACTAATAACCATAGCATATAATTACATAATGACTTGATGAAATATTGTAACCCGGCTGAGCGGCTCATAGAAGGGCTCTAAATTTTATTTTATTTTTCAAGTACAAACGTTTAGCTCATAGCTCCGTCATCTCTTGACTGATTTGAGATCTAATTACAGTTTTGGACTCAGGAGGTTAAACCCTTTGGATTGAATATTTCACCACGTCCAAGGTCTCATAGATTAATTTAACCTAATCCTGTATAAAATATTTTCAATTTAAGGGTAGGCTGGTAGAGATCCTGATGAGTACTAAAATCGAATCGGGTATACGCGTGCCCAACGTTTGGTATTGCTGGCGCACAAAAAAAAAAAACAACAACAACTAATAAAACGAGAAATAAAGGTCTCATAGATTAATTTAACCTAATCCTGTATAAAATATTTTCAATTTAAGGGTAGGCTGGTAGAGATCCTGATGAGTAATAAAATCGAATCGGGTATACGCGTGCCCAACGTTTGGTATTGCT